AATACCTTCCTACCTTTCTGATAGGAAGCCTTCTTGAGGTGGTATAAAACATTTCTTCTTATATTCTGATTTGAGTTGTGGACAACTATGACCACATGAATTAAAAAAACATTTCACTGCCCAAGTCAGCTATAACACAAGTCTTGATCATCAGACTACATGCTGTACAGTATTTGTGGACAGATTTTGTCCCAGGATTTCTTATGCATTTCTTCGTTGCATGATTTAGAATAATAAGGTGAGAAATGGGTCTATTCTGAGTTCATCCTGCACTGCAGCAGCTAATAAAGTCCATTTAATCCCCCAAACGCTTTTCTTTTAGGCAGGCTGGAGCAGAAAAGAACTCACCTTTCTCAAGTTGTACAGTAATGTCACATGTGTATGAAGGTGGATCAAACAAGCTAATCTTAAATGTCAAAGTAGAGAGGAGCCTAGTAGGCCTATTTATTTTCATTCATTACACAATATGAATAAGCTATGCAGACAGTTGTAAAGAAAGAACATCTTTTTCTTCTGTTCTCTACTTGTTATAGTTACACAGTATTAGGGGTGTGGGCTGTATTAAAAGTATCCACTGTTCTTCCATGCTCTAACACACAGTAACGATGAAATGTGTGCTGTTCTCACATTCTTCCTCTGTATCTACACATAAACAACAAGGCAGGGAAATATAAAAGGAATTTATTTTAATTGTTTGGGTACATTATTGTTCAGTGTACATGCTCACATCTGAAACAAACTTTACGTGCTTGATAACTCTCCCACCCCGCAGACATCTACACACCAATACCGATTTATATTCATAGCGGCAAGTGCTATGTAGCTCCACGTAGGGGACACAGGAAGTGACATATAGCACCTTCATGCGGCGTCGGAACCGCGTAGGAAATTCACAGTCGCACCGGCAGAGCTCCAGAATGTGCAACTCGGCCGGCTCACGCGCGGACGCGCTACTAGTGCGAGGGCCCGCCCAACGCTGCTTGCAGCTTTAATTCTTGATTGATTCCACACCACAGAGGGAGTGATGATTTCATTTCACCCTCCCTAACAACATATACAGTATAGATAGATAGATAGATATATAGAGAGAAGCCGCTACACAGCATGTACCACAGACAAATAGAAGAAGTGGCTGAGATCAAGAAATCTTACCAGTGGCTGGAAAAGGCTGGACTAAAGGACAGCACAGAAGCACTAATCATGGCGGCACAAGAACAGGCACTCAGAACAAGATCAACAGAGGCTGGGGTCTACCACACCAGGCAGGACCCCAGGTGCAGACTGTGCAAGGATGCCCCTGAGACAGTACAGCACATAACAGCAGGGTGTAAGATGCAGGCACGAAGTGCGTACATGGAACGCCATAACCAGGTAGCTGGCATAGTGTACAGGAACATCTGCCATGACTATGGGCTGGAAGTCCCATGGTCAAAATGGAAGACTCCTCCTAAGGTAGTTGAGAATGACCGAGCTAAGATCCTGTGGGACTTCAAGATCCAGACTGACAAACTGGTGATGGCTAACCAACCAGATATCGTGTTGATCGACAAACAGCAGAAGAAAGCTGCAGGACATAATTTGCCTGCTTGTCTTTTGGGGAATTCTGACAACATAAATGAATTCTCGGATGTCTGTGCGCCCTGAATGCACCAAAGGAGGTAGTTAAAGGTGATGAATAGTTCTAATGACTCACCCACACCTAATCCTGTACACCTGATGCTTAGCCAGTGTACACACACACACACACACACACACACACACACACACACACACACACACACACACACACAGAGTAATGAAGTAGCTATTATATTACCTTAACTCTGAGCAGCATACAGTTGTCCTCAGGCAACAGAGGACATAGGGAGAGAGAGAGAGAGAGAGAGAGAGAGAGAGTGTTGTGCTCAATGAAGGACCTCTAATGTCATGTAGGCTATATGATGAACACTTGATCATTGAAACATTATCAGAGCCTCAATCTTCCACAAAAACAGGAATAAATATTTTATATGATAAAACAAACTGTGAGCAACAGAGGGTTAAATTGAGTCCGGAATGAATAAAAATAAGGTTAACACACGTTATTTGACCTATGTAGTACAGGGGAGCATTTAGGCGCTGGGGGGAGCATCTCGCGGAACACATTGTTAAGTTCCTACCGGTGAGATTGTCGGAGGCATTTCGAGGTTGAGCTAAGCTTTACTTCCGTTCTTCATTGGCCGAGACAGTCTGCTCTTCAGATACAGTAAGTGCTGACACTGAACGGCTCTGTTTTATAAGTGCAGTCGTGTGGTTTAAATGCTAACCTAATAAAGACCAGGTTTACGATTAAACTCGACAGAGAGACTTTAAATCTTCAAATCTTGATGTCCAGAAACAGGAGCGTGTCTACACCACTGGTGACTGACGGGATTGTAGTTTAGCTAGCTAACGTAACGTTACAGATTATTTATGTCCTTAATGGCATTAACTCGAGTAGCTTAATAGCTCTGTTGTAACGGATTAAAGCAGACACCTGCTTAACATTTTATCTGGCGATGACAAACTTGTTATTAACGTTACTTCACACATGCTGTAAATCAGCCTGTTAGCCTGTGAGGTAACCGGCGGCCATGGAGCTTCACCCAAAACTGTTCACTGTGCAGTCTAACAAAGTATAGCTGATGCTGAGGAGATATGAACATGAGTAAAATCAAGAACAGAAATGGTAATTAATATTGTATAAGAATACTTGTCCGCTGCTGAAGAAAGCAAATAGTCAATTAAGTTAACCTATTGCAGGAAATAAACCAACAACAATTTAGGGTTGATTGATCATTTAAGCCAGTGAGAAAGCTCAATGCTACATCCTCAGCTTTTAGCTTTTCAAGTTAGAGCATTTACTTTCCTCTGTTGTAAATCATCAAATTGAATATCTGCAGTTTTGGGACAAGTCATATGAAGCCGTCACCTTGGCCCTAATAGAACTTTTGAGGGGCATTTTCACTATTTGTGTGTGTGTTTAAAATGGTTCAGTATTAAACAAATCAGATGAACATGTGGCCTGTTGTATCAACGGCCTGTGAAAACCTAATTTCTTTATGTCTTTCTTTCCACGCAGCTGAATTGTTTGACCAGACATCATGACACTGTTTCACTTTGGGAACTGCTTTGCCCTGGCGTATTTCCCTTACTTTATAACATACAAGTGCAGCGGCCTGTAAGTGTCTGTTTGAATCAGGGATCTGCAGCATGGATGGGGAATGATGCATGCCTATATTGTATAATATCCACCACAGCAGTCATGACCAGTGAAGGATAATTGGAGTCCAAGTAAAATACTGTGTTGTTGTACCATCATGGCTGATTTTACATCATTATTACATGGTTTCTTGTTAATTTCTATAATGTTGTAGCAACATATGCTCAGAGACAAATAGGTCTGTTAATAATTTGCTTATGTGGACCCGTCTCGGGTTTGAGACGGGTCCATATAATCTTCTTAAAACTGTAGTGTGCACCTGATTTGACAGTACCTTTGCTTAAAGAGGTGGTATTATGCTCATTTTCAAAATCCCATTTAGGGGTTGTACCAGAACATGTTTACATGGTTTAATAATAAAAAAAAACAACACTTTTTTTCATACTGCACATTGCTGCAGCTCCTCTTTTCACTCTGTGTTGAAGGCTTTGTTTTAGCTATGGAGTGACACATCTTGTCTCTTTGTTGGGAGTTGCACATGCACAGTTCCTAGTTAAGGACTGCTAACCAATCAGAAGCAGAGAAGAGCGGTTAGTGAGACGCAACCACAGCTTTTTTTCAGCTGTACATGTTGTCGACCAGCTTGGCTGGTCGACAACATGTACAGCATGTTGACAACATGTACAGCATGTTTTCAACTGAGCTCTGTCTCTACATCATAGTAACAACTTTATGTCCATTGAGTGTCTGCAGGATAGCTAGTTTGGAAGGGAGAGGAGAGGTGTGTGCTGCAGCTCAGTGTTTTTCCACCGGTGTTTTTGAGGGCATGTCGGAGTAGCCGCTTGGTGAGCGTTACGTGAGGTGCATTTAGCTTTCTTCCCTGTTTCGTCACAGGGATGAAAGGGAAACGGCTGGACTACAAATGAGCTGTTTTCAAGCAGTTCAGAGCAGTGTTTTCTGTGGGAGATGGGAAATCCCTTTGGGGTGGGCTTTGGATTTTTTCACTTTGCAAACATGCACAAAAAAGGTATATAACTCAATAAAGGAGAGGGAAAAACCAAAAACCATAATACCACCTCTATAACACATTGCACCCAAGTTTCCGCCGGGACTGCCTTGTCTCTCAATAACTTGTTGTATTCTGCATTCTGTGCCTCCTCATTTTACAATCCTACGATTTAACTCTGTTTGTGTGTTCAAACTTTAGTTCAGAGTACAATGCCTTCTGGAGATGTGTCCAGGCTGGAGCAACCTACTTGTTTGTCCAACTCTGTAAGGTGAGTGTGAGCTTTCTGATGATTAAACAATCATTCATGATTTTGAGGCTAAAGTGCCTGCAATGAAATAAAATCGAGCAGGGGAGATTGCAGGAAAAAGGACAAACTACGAGGTCATTCAATGCCTTGTGTTTTGAAGTGTGTAAACGGGGTTTGCTTACCTTTTTGTGTTTCAGATGCTGTTCCTAGCTACATTTTTCCCCACATGGGAAGGGGGAGCTGGAGTTTATGACTTTGTAGGAGTGAGTGTTGAAACTTCGTTATTCTTTCACAACAACACAAGATTTTTCACACATATTTACTTAACTATTATAAATGCAAGACAAAAAAAGCAAGTAGATTACCAGCTTGTGTAGGAGGCTGTAATGTGTGTTTGTTGTGCAGGAATTTATGAAGGCAACAGTGGACCTGGCAGATCTGTTGGGCCTCCATCTTGTGATGTCTCGTAATGCTGGCAAAGGAGAGTACAAGATCATGGTGGCTGCCATGGGCTGGGCAACAGCAGAACTTGTGATGTCTAGGTAAGCACTAATACTGTTTCTGCAGAGATAACATGAGCTAGACAAATTATTAAACACTGAATCTCACCGGTTGTGTCCCGCTGTGACTCTTCAGGTGTCTTCCTCTGTGGGTGGGAGCCAGAGGGATTGAGTTTGACTGGAAATACATCCAGATGAGCTTTGACTCTAACATTAGTTTGGTGAGTAGCTGTCCTCTTCTCTTTGCTCACTGCTCTACTCTGTCTGCTTCTGCCCTTCCAGTCTTCTGTCCTTGACCTTCAGTCTTACAATAAAAACATTTGTTCTTGTCTGTTCATTCTCAGTTCTCTCTGTCCTTGACCTTCAGTCTATCTGTTTTCTACTGAAAAGATTACAATAAAAACATGTGTTCTTGTCTGTGTGCTCAGATACACGTCTGTCTTTAGGTCTATTGAATCTGTAATGTGAATATTTGTATTAGTGTGTAAAGAAACTAAATTAAAACTAGTAATTATTTCTCTGTCTCTTTATAGGTCCATTATATTGCCATGGCAGCAGTGGTGTGGATGTTCACACGATATGACCTTCCTAAGAGCTTCAGGCTTCCTGTCACTGTGCTGCTGGCTCTCTGTGTCTACAAGGCCTTCTTAATGGAGTAAGTCTGACACGCTTTTACACACACTCATATGCAACGCAAACAGATACAGACCTTTAGACGTACTACTTTCAGGGATATGACATTGCTGCTATTGGTGAAAAATAAATAGTTGAAGGTCAAATGGAGCATGTAACTCAGTTATCCTGACTGATTGAATTTAATTGCAAGAGAGAAAAATCCCAAAGAAGATATTGTTCATTAGTAAGATTTAGACATGTTGGAATTAGGGCTGGACCCAACAGCAATGGGGTTTATTAATTTTATTCTCTTGTCCTAAAAGCTGTCTAAAAGTTAGAAGCAAATTTTGTATAATAACGTGTTGTTATAGTTCCACTACTGGAAATAGCACTCACCCTGTCTGTTCTCCCTGGACCCCCACCAGGCTAAACTATTCCCTTATTCTTCTCTGGACCTGCTCAGCTACAGCTTTCCCCTTGCTCTGCACAGCAGCCACCAACTCGGTTCTGCACATTTCCGGTTTTCCGCTTAGCCCCGCTCTTCCCCGGCTCAATATGCCATCCCTTCAACCCTGCGATAAATATGCCTTTTATCCAACTCCTCGCCTCTCTTAGTTCTGCACTTGTGTCTACTAGCCATAACTAAGTTATAGTTAAATAACTTGTTGTTTTAGTTAGCCTACGCTCTAAGAATAAAGAAACCAAACGTTCACTCACTCAATCACACGGAGACGCAGACAGACTTATGCACTCATGACTGCCATTCAGTTCAACCAATGTTTGATCGCCTGTGTAGTGCCTGCACTTTACTTTGCATGGGTGATAATAATGTTAAAGATTAAGAGACCAGCAGAACATGTTATTTAATTTCCTTTTTGTAAAAGGGCTCATTCTGTTGACCATATGTCATCCATCATCAAATTCATGGCTTTTTACCAGTTTAGATTCTTACAAATGGGTGGAAGAAATGGGTATTTTAAAAATATCTGATAATTCAAGTTTCCTGATATTTAGGTGGCCAAATATCTGGAATCTGTTATGTAACTATTCATCTGTCGCTCTAATGGATAGCTCCACCACTGCCAATGCATTTGTTTTGTTTTGTTCTTCTTCTTCTTACATTTCTCTCTGTTGTGTCTTCAGGTTGTTTGTCCATGTCTTCCTGTTGGGCAGCTGGACAGTGTTGTTGGTGAAAGCCGTGCTGACCGGTGCCATCTCTCTCTGCTCACTGTTTCTCTTTGTCACGCTGGTCCACAGCAACTAAGTAAAACTCAGCATCCTGGGATAAGCCTTCAGCAGTCTCTCTGGTCCAGATTCTTTTTGGTCTGGGGTTGTTATAAATCAGAAGCTGATCCCTGACACCATTTCAGACTTACCACCATGTAACACCAAAGACTGAAAAGTGCTTGTTGACATTGGTTCGTTGGAATGGTCTGATGTATAAAACAGGCTACGAACAGGCAAGCTAACCAGTTCGTACAGACCCCTGATGGAGAACATGCACTCAGGGTGAAGGTTTGTTTGCTTTCAGTCTACCAGTATGACCTGCAGGATGAGCGATGACATCAGGAGACAAGATTGGCTTATCTAAGGTGAATTTTTTTTATCCGAATGACCACAAATGAATTGTGACTTTATAAATAACATCATTCTTTCCTGTGTGTTGTCCAATGAGCCATTCTTAGATTAAATAGTGCATTTATAACAAACTGATGAAAGTGACAGTTCCTTGTGTGGCCACAAATTTATACATTTATTTATATACAAGTAAATAATACATATAGTCAAATCGGAACTGTAGCAAGATTTTTCTAATCATTGTCAAAATATTAAATATTTAAAGTAACTCAAAAAATGAATTCAGCCCGCAGTATAAAGAAATTGAGGTCCACTCAACGTTGTAATGATGGCATTTTCTTAAATTGTACTGTAATTGTATGTTATTTTGACATTTAATTAACAAACATTTCTTCTTGTCTTATCATGCTCTATGACTTTTGATTCATCAGACTATGTAGTGTCATGAATGATCAGATGTTCCATTTCAATTATTAAAGACGTGGTATTATGCTCATTTTCAGCCACGGAGTGATACATCTTGCCTCTATATGATCTTTGTTGGGAGTTGCACATGCGCAGTTCCTAGTTAAGGACAACTAGCCAGTGAGAAGCCGGTAAACACGGCTTTGGTTCAGCTGTATATCCCCATACCAGCTTAGCAACATGGACTGGAGCTTCAGAGTGGTGAATTATTAATATGTCATCCATAAAGTTTTAACTGAGCTCTGTCTCTACATCACAGTAACAACTTTATGTCCATTGACTGCCTGGAGGGTAACTAGTGTTTGGAAGGGAGAGGAGAGGTGTGTGCCGCAGCTCAGGGTTTTTCCACAGGTGTTTTTGAGGGCTTGTCGGACTAGTCGCTTGTCCAGCGTTACATGAGGCGCATTTTGCTTTGCAAAGGGAAACGGCTGGACTACAAACAAGCTGTTTTCAAGCAGTTCAGAGAAGTGTTTTCTGTGGGAGATGGGAACTCACTTTGGGCTGGACTTTTTCACTTTGCAATATTACATGCACAAAAAAGGTATGTAACTCAATTAAGAAGCCAAAAAGAATTATAGCACCTCTTTAACCAAATTACAGTTAGATTTAGACCAAATTTATGAAGATAAGGCAATAGGAGCATTTGTAAGATATAGAAGGAAATGTCTGGAAAAAAGAAATGCAGGTCTTTCCTCTTTGAATAAACCTAATATTAATGGACAAGTGTCAGAAAATGCAAGGGAAATCTCTGACTAATGTGGTCTACATGTGAAAAAAGCAGATAAATCATCCTTTAAAGTATTTTCACAAATTGAATAAAGGTTTCACAAATCTGAAACTATGTTTGATTAAAACTTTAGCCTCCGTGGGACAATCTAGTCCAGTTTTGAGATCTCTAGGTTTAGTGTTTTGGATCTGGACCTGGTCTAATGTGGTCTACATGCGAAAAAAGCCTTGAAATCGCCCTTTAAAGTATTTTCACAAATCTGAAACTATACCTTTTTTCATTATCACAAATAAAATACATTTTTTTCAAATCTAAAAAAGTGTTTCAGATTTTAGGCTTTGCCTAAAATGCTTGCCTAAAACAGCTTGCACAGCAGTAAGAGGTGCAAAAAACGGAGAATCGGTCACTCAGCAATTTAAGTTAACTTTCACTTAAATTCCCCTTAACTGCCGAGTCGGAAGCTGTGAATCGGAAGCTAACTTCAGCGTCGTTGAAGGGAGGGATATTAATGATAGGTCTACATCTTTCTTCTCTTCCATAAGGGATAGTGCAAAATCTATAGATGAGGAATCAAAAAAGATGTGTGACCAGAATATAACTTTAGAAGAAATAAAAAGTAATATAGCTAAGTTAAAAGATAATAAATCCCCTGGAAATGATGGACTAACAAGCCAATTCTATGTTTTTCAAGAACCCTGCAGAATTTATTTTATTTGTATTTAGGGAAGCAACTGAGGTTGGGAAGCTACCTCCAACCTTGTCTCAAGGGCTAATCTCCTTAATACCTAAGCCAGATAAAGACTTTAATTGAAAACTGGAGGCCTATAACGTTAATAAACAATGGCGTCAAATTACTTGCTCTAATATTTGCTCAGAGATTGCGTTTATGCCTCAATACAATTATTGATGATTGTCAGTCTGGTTTTATGCGTGGAAGGCATAATTAATAATAGCCTTTTCATCTAATTTTAGATTTAGTTGATTACAACCAGTTTATTAATGAAAATAGTTATATTTTGTTTTTAGACTTTTATAGGGCCTTCCACACTGTGAAGCATAGTTTTTTATTTAATACTTTAGACTTTTTTGGCTTTGTAAGTTATTTTAAATGTGCAATCCAGACGTTTTTAAAGGTTGTAATTGTTCTGTTAAACTACCATTTGGCACGCAAACAATGGCACCTCACATTAAAAAAAGATAATTTCAAAGATATACAAATAGCCAAAAATCAATTAAAATGCTGTCAATTAGCAGATGACACAACTATTTTTTACAGAATGAAGAAGAAGTAGAAAAGGCTATTGACTGTGTTAATGTATTCTCTTCGGTATCAGGTCTAACTTTAAATATTAAAAATTAGAGATTTTTGCCACCCTGCGTTGGACTGGCGACCTCTCCAGGGTGTACCCCGCCTTTCGCCCGATGTCAGCTGGGATTGGCTCCAACCCCCCGCGACCCTGTACGCAGGATAAGCGGTTGACGGTGGATGTATGGAGATTTTTGCCTTAAAAATAAGGAAAATGACTTTGTTGACACATGTGGTATCCGTATAGTGGGTGAATTCAAATTGCAGAGATCCCACTTCTTCAGGTATTTACAAGTCAGAGACTTTGCTCACAATCGTTTCCCTGGCTTTCCTGCTATTCCTCCTTCTACTCTACTTCTATTCCTTACACACCAATCCTCGTCCTCTGATAAACTGCTATTTGGTCTGAGGTCCTTAATATAGAGATAGAGCCTGAGGTCTGGCAGTGCGCTCTGAAATGGGTCCATGCAGCATCGATTTATGCCCGGCATGGGGATTTGCAGTGCAAAGTAATTAATTGAGTCCACTGGTCTAAAAGCAAACTAGCTCACATCCAAATTGCGATAAGTGTCACTTAGGACCAGCTAACCTCTGTCACATGTTTTGGACCTGTCCTGCTCTCTCTCTCTCGGTTCTGGAATTCTGTATTTGACTCACTCTCGGCCATCACATCTACCAAAGTCCTCCAATCACCCTTTGTAGGCCTGTTCGATGTCCTGCCTGCTACAAACCCACTGCCACCCTACTTCACTGAACTGGTGGCTTTTCTCACGTTATTAGCGAGGTGACAGCCCACTCAACTGCCCCTTCTTGTGGCTCCTGGCTGGCTTATGTTCTCTCCCTGTACTAGCAGCCCACAGTATGTCTCGTTTGTGAGTGTCAGTATGTGTTTCCAGGTTGGTGATTCTGTGTGGGTTTTGACAAACTTTCTCCTCTTGTTTTAAGTTAACACCACTTTCTGTTATTAGTGCTTACCTCACCACATTCAATGATATATTGTATATTACTCACACAGATGAATGTAAGGGTCTGTGTCTGTTCTTTTTGTTGAAAACTCAATAAATAAATCATGTTTTTTTTTAAAACTGAATGCAGCCTTGTAGACAATATTTTTTCCTTGTAATCCACATTTCCATTGCATGGATAGCCTTTGGTCAGTCCCCCTCCTTAAAGGCTAAATTATTATCAAAACAATTTAATAATGAATTGCATTTTAACAGCATTGTTTATTATTCTTATATAACATGCATTTTTTATTTGTTTATTCCATATCTATATATTTCTACATTTATGTTTGTCTACGTGTAGCACCTGATCACCAAAACAAATTCCTCGTACGTGTAAAATACTACTTGGCACTAAAGTTCTTTCTGATTCTGATTATTTTCATACACAAAAAGCGATAACAGTAGCCTACTGCTCCTACCAGGCTGGACATGCAGTCTATCAAATATGTATCCCTGTCCATAATGCACAGATGATGGCCTATAACATCAAGTATTATCAATTTGTGTATACTTCACATCATGACTTATAACAGTGGTTAATATGGAGAAGTTTCTATTTTCCTAGCAAAGGTTATAGTGGGATACATATTATTTCAGACTGTATTTTCAACCTGCCATAAAATGTATCCCCCCTTTATAATGCACAGATGATGACCTACTATCAAGTACTTCGTTTTGGGTATATTTCACATCATGACCAATGAATATAGAGGCATTTGTTGTTTCCTAGCAAAAGTTATAGTGGGATACAAAATACAAACTGAGATCCAGAGAATATCTAGTACACTAGAGCTTATACTGTTCATTAAGCCTTACAACGATGTGTTGCATCAAAGAATGTACTGTAACTTGAGCTATAGTTAACAGGAATGTTTTGTTTTTTTTAAATAATGTAATTTAATAAAACTATAAGTTGCTGAAAAAATCCTGTTACTGAAAAAAATAACTGTAAGTTAGTGAAACATACTAAAACATTACATTATAAACTAAACAAGACATTTTGAAAGCTTGAACATTGCCTTTGTCTCTTTTGTACCAGATTGAATGCGCCCCTCTAACAAAACAACTAGCCCCAGCCTGGCCCCTCCAATAAAATTGGCCTAGAACCACCACTGCGTGGAAAGCCTGAGGGCGAGAGAGCAGCGTCAAAGACCCCCAAAACAACCACATCCAGCCAACCTCCCTGGCCTTCCATGTGCTTTGAGCATTGAGGATGGCTTGATCCTCAGGCCGGAGGCATGGTTCATAGGCAGATGATGACCAACGGCCCATAGCTATGAGCGTTGAGACAGCAGCTATGGCTGCTGCTGTTGTTGCTGCTCCTATGCAGAGAGAACTATAACTGTATAGCCAATGAAAATCGTAGGTTCTCATTATAAAATAATGAGATGCAATTCCATTTGACGCACAGAAGAGAACAGAACCAGAGCTCGGATCTGCATCCTGTATCAGAAGTTCACCATATCTTGGAGTTTCCTTACTGATTTGTAGAGGTCTAATAGCCTGGATATATAGGAGGGTCCCAGGAGGAAATTACAGTATGTGCACTGAGAAATTAAAATGACGGAACAAAAAAAACAATTCTCTTTTTGAGATTGCTATGGCTTCATGCGCATTTCTCCTATCCTCTCTGATTCAATAAAATTTTTCAAGAGGCAGGGATGCTTGTATCCGGTTGCTATCTAAGGTGATACCTAGAAATTGTATAGTTTTAAACGTGCCTGATGTTTTCTCTTCTGATAGAGGAATACCCAGTATTTCAAAAGTATGACTGAGAGCAGAGATGCACCAATCTGGTTTTGAATTTACATGGTCCAATAGCAGAAAATTTGAGATGAAGCAGTAGGCAATTTACTGTTGTTAAGAAGAATCCAGCAACCACTAATTGAAAGATCAACGGTTCCGATCCCCGGCTCCTCCAGTCTGCAAGTCGAAGTTAGATACTGAACCCCAAATTGCTGCCCTGTGTATATGATGAGCAGTTGGCACCTTAGCCTCTGCCATCAGTGTA